TTTTCAGACTTCAAAATAAGGAACCAAATGATGAACATAAACACAATAACACAATAAACAATAATGCAATTCCAGACCTCCAAATAAGGGAACCAAATGATACTTCAAAATATTCAACACATTAACACCTTAAATCCAAAATGAACTACAAATTCTACAATTGTGCCAAACATTAAAATTGTGCCAAATTCTACACTACAACACATCATAATTCTACCATACATATTTATCAAATTTCTACAACACTAATGCATTACAAATCCATTCTAGTTCTTTTTCCACGCTTCCTTGGTTTCTTCCTCATTCTTGTACAAATGTTAGATTTAGACTTTGATAGGTTTTCTTCAACCATGGCATCATCATCATTAAGTGGAGTGTTATGTCCAACATCTCCATCCGAAGTCTCTACTGCATCTTCAGTGACAAAGTTAATAAGTTGTCGATCATCTTGAACATCCTCATCCTGAAATGGAGTGTTAACTCTTGCCTCTTTCATCATCCTCACTTCCTCCTCAAGAGCTGCTATCCTCTCCTTGAAATCTTTATTGTCATCCACCAATCTTTGATAATCATACACATTCCCAAATTGTTGTCCTTGTTCAAACAAAGCAGCATTGACTATGTCATAATTCAGTTCCTTCTCTGTTGCAACCACTTTATCAATTATCTAACAAAAAAACAATCAATTCAAACACACGACAACAAAAAAGCTATTTTCCTAAAATCGAACACATAAATTCTTACCATATTTTTGTCAAACGCTTTTTCAATGTTTTTCTTCTGCATAGTTATAACTGGCCAATTCAATACACGTGGAAACGGAAATGTAGCAACAACAGGTACTTTTCCCAAAGATAAGTGGTTGAATGTCCAAATCTATAACAAATATTACAAGATGTAAATTTCAAAACTTTTAATATTCAGAGCACATGATGAAACTATAAAGTTATATATGAAAATTTACCTGCAATATGGCAGTACACCCGTTTAAATGTCTTTGTGCCTTATTTTTTTCCTCCTTCAACACAAATGAAGACTCACATAAACTAGAAACTATAAAGTTATAAACAACAAGTCCCCAACTAAATGTATCAAGTGAGTCAAGATCATCAAATTACTTAATAAATTCGGTAAAGACCTTATTCCTTGTTTTGAGAAAGTAAAACTCCGCAAATGCAAGTAATATGTAAAGTCTAATAAAATTAACTAATTTTTTCTTTTGGTAACGAAGTTATTTGCGAATATTGTGAATGGTTACCTCAACCCCTTTAAAAGATCTAATGTTTGACTTTGTTAGTTTTCTTCTACTACTAGGGACTTATCAATTATAGATAATCCAAGCGCAAAACAAACATCAACCGGAGTAAAGGGAACTATCTTATCCCTACACCTAAATCCCCTACTTCGTACGTTCAACCTACTTACTAATTCCCATAATAAACCACTTGAGATTGAGAAGTTGTTAGAAATATCCATTGCCCATTTGAATGTGGTGCATTTGATGTGGGCTCGTTGAGCTGGTGTTAACTTTTCATTGATGATACTCAAATTCACTGGAATACAACTATGCCTCATTCGTACCTTAAATTCACGAAAAAACTTAATTACTTTCACTGGTAAATAAGATCCAACATTCCAACCAGAATAACAAAACCAATAAAAATAAAAAAACTTACATCACTTTCATTTAGATTTCTTGGTGATTCCATAGTTTCAGCAATAAAGAACTCAGCCTGATAAAATCCAAAACCAACTAACCACATTATCAGTAACATAACAAGAAATCTATTACAACCTAAAATTGAGAACTCTATTACAATAACCTAAAAAGAAAAAACCCTAAGCCTAAATGCTCTTTCAGTTTCCCTTATTGAACAACAGAACTCTTAGAACCTTAAAAAAATTAAGATAGTGTTGTTCATGTAAGAAGAATATCAGAACACGTTTTAAAAAATCAGAACTTTTTCAACAATCATAACTTTTTCATGGAATTTATGTAAGAAGAACATCTAACCTTAAGAGCTCATGATGTGTCGCGGTGGTCACCGATTCCAGACAAGCTCACGATGAAATGAGAGAGATCACGATGAAATGAGAGAGATTTTCTTCTTCTTTTGAGAGGAGAGGTATCAGATTCAATGTGAAGGGCAAAAATATATTTAACATCATTTAACCTAGCACTATTCATAAAGTTACTAAATTGTCCTGTAAATTACCGCAAAACTAGTACATTAAAAACTGCAATACAGTATAGGTGTATACTAGAGTGTTAAGATATCATTTCTGATATATGAGAGATTAAGGTTTATGAGAGGAAAATTGGAGAGAGAAAATGAGAGAGAAGAAAATTTTAGTGTCATAGAATAAAAGTGTTGTCTGAATAGTTTAGCTTTGGTATGTGAAATGATTTTGGTGAAAAAGGGAAAATTTTATTTTTAGAAGTCAATACTTGATGGACATTTGACATCAAGTTAAAAGATTAGATTAAAATTATTTGAGTGATTTATTAATTACTCATTTCAAAAGCTTAGAAGGATAAATTGGTTAAAGCGCAATTTATTTTTGAAGGGATAATAGTAGAAGTTAAACCAAAACTACATGATAAATTTTTACATACTTGATAAATTACTCCTTGAAAGCTACAGTTCAGTCCAAATTGAGTGACATTGTGCTTTGGCCTCCAATTCAATCAAACTTCATTTCGTTATGGCCCCTAGAATCCTACTCTGCGGCGACGTTTTTGGCCGCCTTAACCAGCTCTTCAAGCGCGTCTCATCGGTAAGCACCTCTCTCTCTCTCTCTCTCTATCTCTCTCTCTCTCTCTCTCTCTCTCTCTCTCTCTCTCTCTCTCTCTCTCTCTCTCTCTCTCTCTCTCTCTCTCTCTCTCTCTCTCTCTCTCTCTCTCTCTCTCTCTCTCTCTCTCTCTCTCTCTCTCTCTCTCTCTCTCTCTCTCTCTCTCTCTCTCTCTCTCTCTCTCTCTCTCCTCTCTCTCTCTCTCTCTCTAGGGTTTTGTTTTCTTCATAATTTCAATCAATTTTAATTCAGGTGAACAAATCGGCCGGTCCATTCGACGCCCTCTTGTGCGTCGGCCAGTTCTTCCCCGACTCACCGGAGCTTCTTGATGATTTTATGTCATACATTGAAGGTGCCTCTCACATTCCCCTCCCAACGTACTTCATCGGCGACTACGGTGTCGCCGCTCCTAAAGTTTTGATGGCGGCCACTAAGGATTCTGCCAACCGTGGTTTCAAGATGGATGGTTTCAAGGTTTGCGATAATTTGTATTGGTTGAAAGGCAGTGGCAAGTTCAACCTCTTCGGTATGCTTTTTTTTACTTCCTCTAGTTTTTATTTTCTTTCTGTGGATTGGGATATGTGTTATGCTTTTAGTTTTTTTATTATGTTTATGTGATCCGTAGTAGACGTTGGTTTAGGTAGTAGTTGCGTAGCGATTATGTGACTAGGGATTAGTTTTGGTGATCGCTATTATAAATGATCCGTAATTGCTAATGTTTGGCTTCCTTCCTGGTTTGTCTTTGAGCCGTGGAATACTTGTTGGGAGTTGAGTTTAGTTCCTTGTTTTACTTATGTGCAGGGTTATCTGTCACCTATTTATCTGGTAGGAAATCATCAAATGTTCAGCAGTTTGGAACTTTTAGTGAAGACGATGTTGATGCTTTGCGTGCAATAGCTGAGGAACCTGGAGTTGTTGATTTGTTCTTGACATATCCTTGTATCTATGTTAATTTATTCTTGATTATTCTTAGGCATGCTGTATTTGGGCTTAATGTCACTTGCTTGTTTTCTAAGACACAATCTGTCTGTTGATTTCCTTGATTTGTTATTACTAATGAATGGCCAAGTGGGGTTACAAATGGAGCAGCTGCTTCAGACATTCCTGCTGAATTCTCGGAATCTAGCGGCAGTGATTCAATCATATCAGAGTTAGTACAAGAGATTAAACCACGGTAATTATTGAATAGATACCTCACAGCCGTACCTTGTTTGATTATCTATGTCCCTCCTCTCAAACACAAAAAAGGATCAACTACATTTTCTTGCAGAATGTTTCACATGTGCACAATAGTGATAAACAAATTACGAACTTTCTGTTTAATAAACACAATTGTATGCATAATCCTGATTTCATAGTATTTGGTGTTCTGCACTTTTAGCTTCAAAAAGATAAGCCCTCAAGTTCTTTGTTCTATTGAATGTATTTTGTGTTTTTCTATATACTATCTTTATCAAATATAAGCTCGTTGAAAAAAATTGTCCCTTTCTATAAGCCTCTTTCTAAATAGCTAGATGCGCCCAATCTTTTTTAACAAAAGTACCCTTAATCATTTAATAACTCTGGAAAATCATTAGTTCAGTGAAAAAACGAATCCCAATAATTGAAGGGCAATTTTGAAAAATCAATAGACATTGTTGATAAATTTAATGTAAGTAACAAAATTACTTAATTTTCTTAATTCTAGCAAATTGGTTAAAAGAGACTTATATTTAGGGACACATGTAGTACTTGTTATAGGTATTATATTTGCAATTCTTATAACCAGGAATGGCAATCTCGCAAGTGGTAAAAAGAAAATGGGATTTGATTGAACTAATTATTAGGAAAATTTGCTTATAGGAGGTTAATTCATTCACCAGATCAGGATTAGTGTCTTATTTCTCTGGAGGAATTTGCTATGTCAATTGTGCCTTTTGTGGAATCACTTGTAATCTTCGCGTAAGCTGAGTCTTTGATCATAACAGTTCTTTCTGTGTTTCTTTTGTAGCTATCATATTGCAGGTTCTAAAGGTATATACTATGCCCGCGAACCATATTCCAATGTTGATGCCGTGCACATTACCCGTTTCATTGGGCTTGCATCTGTTGGAAATAGAGATAAGCAGGTTTGGCCATTCTTCTTTAGCATACCACTGTCACTGATATTGATTTTATTTTAATAAACCTTTCTTTACGTATCTCTCTCTGTAAGGAAAATATTTTCATTACTGTAAAATTTTGGTCACTTTTGCATTTCAGAAATTTATTCATGCAATTTCTCCAACACCTGCATCCACCATCTCTTCAACTGAGATTGCCATGAAAACCACAAATACTACCTTATCACCATACACGTCTACAAAGGAAAAAGCTTCTCCTAATGACACTGCAAAGAGACCTGGTGACTCTGATTCTCAACATTGGAGATATGATGTTTCACAAAAACGGCAGAAACATGACGCTGGAGATAAGTTATGTTTCAAATTTGTATCTTCTGGCTCTTGTCTACGGGGAGACACATGCAATTTCCGACATGACACAGATGCAAGGGAGCACTGTTTGAGAGGTGTTTGTTTTGATTTTTTGAACAAGGGAAAATGTGAAAGGGGTCCAGATTGCCGCTTTAGGCACAGCTTGCAGGATGAAGGTGATAAGCATCCTTCCAGGAAGCCTGGATCAGAAAATACAAGGTCTAGCAGGTGTGTCTCTTGATTGATTATATTCTATAGTGAATGTATATTATGTTATTTAGTGATTCTTGACTTGTGAATTTTTGAGTGAAGTTAATTCTCAAGTGGTAACTAGTAAGATTTTGGTTTTATTCCTCATCTTTGTTTATTTGATTTATCCATGTTAGAACTTAAAAGCATTTTTCCCTTGACAAATTCTACAATACAACTGCAGATCAAGAGAATGCTGGTTTTGCTTGTCAAGCCCCAATGTGGAGTCACATTTAATCATAAGCATCGGGGAAAATTACTATCTAGCACTGGCTAAAGGTCCACTTGTTGAAGACCACGTGCTGATAGTACCTGTTGAGCATATGCCAAGTACTTTATCTTTGTCTTCTGAATCTGAAGCTGAGCTCATACGATTTCAGAACAGTCTCAAGAGATGTTTCAAGAACCAAGAAAAGGAAGTCATATTTTTTGAGTGGGCTTCCATACGCGGCACTCATGCCAATCTTCAGGTAAAGGAAGTTTCTGTTGCTAGTTGCAAAGTAGTTGAAATCTGGACTAGGAAGTGCTCTTTGCACTATGTTTACTTAATTGAGCTGGCTTTCCACCCCCTCCTCTGTACCTTTCATGGCTGTGCACTCCCCCTTATATAATTTGCTTAATTCCACATTAGATATCCAATCTGTTCGTCACTTTTTGGGTTAGCTATTTTCTGTTCTAAGAATAGTGGCTTCTCAATTGAGTTTCATTTATCTCTTGCTCGATCAACTGTAGTTTTATATTCTCTCATTGACATTCTATCCTATTTATGCAGGTCATTCCCATTCCATCTTCCAAAGCAGTTATGATTGAAAAAGCATTCAATTTAGCTGCACAAAAGTTGGGATTTGAATTTGTTGTAAAGAAATGTAAGCATTAATCTTCAGGCCGTGCTTTGTATTTCAATTCTATGAAACACAGACACCATATGCAACACTGACACTTCAACGCCAGTAATAATTTGAAAATATGAATAAACTAAATGTAATCACATGTGTAGGTGGTGTGTCAGACACCGGATACGTCTTTGTTGTTGGTGCTTAAGGTTGTTTCATTGTTTATAATATAATATCCCGTATACCCCTTTATTTTTCATTGATTTTTGTTACCGATCTTCACTTATTAGTTATTTGGCTTGAAAAATAATCCTCAATTTATTTAATCTGGGAAGTACCAACAATTATTATTATTATTATTATTATTATTATTTTTGTTTCTGTTGCATTCATATGCTGCTTTTCTTGGCATCTCAGTCGATAGCATTTCTGATGGAAGAAAGTTTTTGAAGACACAAACTGACGGGAATTCAAGCTTGTTCTATGCTGAAATCCCAGGAGGCACAATTTTGCTGCACCATGTTGAGGAGAAAGACACGTTTCCTGCCCAGTTTGGACGTGAGGTAGGCTTCTAAAAGCAAAATACATACAATTATTTTTTCTGGAAGAGGTCTTCAATGTTTAATTTATTCTTTGTAAGATTATGACTATTGTATTTATCAGAAAGAGTTAAAACTTGAAAAATGAACCAGGTTCTGGCAGGGTTGCTTAATATGGCAGATAATGCAGACTGGAGGAATCGCAAACATAACAAAGATGAAGAGATGAAAATCGTTGAAGATTTCAAGGACCGATTTCAAGAATATGATCCAAACCGTTGATTGTTCATGCATTAAATTCTCAATTTACAGTGATCCCATGATGATTATGTTGACTCACCCAAGCCGGATTTCAAACTGAGGCGTATATTTGTTTAAATTTGCAATCAGCCCTTTTCTGTTACTTGGTTATTGGGACCAACTGATTTCACACAATTTAACCCCATGAATTGGTGCTTTGGGATGCAACTTGATAGTCCTACAGAATTTCAATCTGTCACTTTTATCAGTGGTTCCTGTGGTGAGCTTCACTTTTCTTTCAAATGGGCTTCTTGGAGCTTCACTTTCCTAAGTCTGAATGGCAACTTTTGTGTGAATGTATACGCCTCGCCTCAACTGTTGGTATTGACATTCTAAATATTTTCCAGACTGTGAATGACCAAGCTGAAGTGGCTATCATATCATCTAGGCTTTATGCATTGGTCAACGGGCAACCAGCAGCAGCAGCAGCCACATTCATGTTTTGAAATAGTTGGGTTTGCATCCTCAATATGTAATTTAAGATATTCATATTTAAGGAATCAGTATCCTTTTATTCAATGTTCAGATAAGAGATACTCTTGCATTTGCCTAGAGTGACACATTTGTATCATCTCGAAGGCCGGCTTCAACCTTTATACCGAAATTCAACTCTGTAGAAGCTAGTTGTTTTGGTATTCCTTTTTATTTGTAATTTTGGTGTCCAAGGACTATAACATACTCATACTTTCCATAATCTTTGGTCTTCAGAACATTTTATTGTTCTTTTAAAGCTTCAGCTGTTTTAGAAAATCAAAATATAATTAGCAGGCTTTTTCCCCCTTCATACCCTATCCTCTTTTGCATTTGAGACCAATGCTCATTCACTACAATCCAAGTTAACAATCACGGAGATTGGCTATTGAAGGAACTATTATCAGTCAAATCCCTATGTCTCTTGTCTCTTTCTGTCTCCTCTATGACAATACCTTAGATTCCCCTATTAATTATTATTCTCATTTTTTCGTTGGATCTTAGCCCCTCTACATCTTTTGGCAAATGTTCGACAATTATTTAATCAATTAATGTGATAAGGTTATTGCATGTTTGCTTTTAGTCACGGGCGCTACATTTTTCATTTGTATTTGCCAAAAAAACAGATGGACTCATCTCACCAACTCACATTGGAGTTTAAACCCTTTCAAAATCAATTATAAACTGACAATTAGTGTTATTTTAATTAATAATAGTTTACATTTTTCTAAGATTACTGAAATATACAAATACATATAAGACTAGGTAGCCTCTCTGCCCCACTAAACTGCCTCTATCTAAGAAGGAAAAAAAAATATTTTCTACTCACCATTTTTTAATTCTGTTGGGGTTCTTTGGAGTGGTTTTGGACTGTGAATTCACGTGTTGTATTTCTGTTCATTAAAATAACCTCATGGAAAAAGACTTCAACTTTTAGCTTTCACATGGAAATTTCTAAACACTCACTACCAATGCCAGTGCTGATTTTCGCTAAGGACATATTGTTTTGGCCTTTTGGGTTTTGTCCTTTACAACAAAAACAATTATGGGTTGTTCTCCATAAATTGTCTTATCATTGTTTTTGGTGTCAATGTGAAGTCTTGCTATATATGTGGCTGTGTACCTTCTTCAATGTAACCTGTTCTTTTGTTCTTTGCTTTTTCTGGTTACCAATTTCATAATCATTTGATTTTAATCACTTCTGAGGAGATTGGAATGGGATGGGAGTGGTTTTGGCACTGATGTTACAGCTGTTGAAGCTCTGCATCATCATCATCATAGGTTTTGTAGTGGCAACCCAAGGATCCAGAGGTAGGTGCTTCCATAATCTTCACTTTTCTTTGTTGATGTTAATGAAATAGTTTTTATTAGTGCAAAAGAAAATCACTTATGCAGGGCCATTATCACCACCTCCTGCATCAGCTCCAACTCCTCAAATGAGCAAAGAAACTGAACCATTCATATCTCCAAGTTCAATCTCTATAGCATTATCACCACTATATGAAGTTGTTCCTTCACCAGCAACAGTTCAAGGGAATATGCCACCATCTGTAGCTCCTGCAGCACAAAAGGCAAGACAATTACATCATGCTCCTCAGCCATTAACTTCATCTCACTCTCCTGCATTGGCACCTTCAGTCTCAAACTATAAACATCATCATGCAAGGAACATAATTACCATTCCTGCTCCCGCATCATCGTATACGGTTTCTCCTCCTATTTCAAGACCCCGAGGTTCAATCGCCACGCTCTACTTGACTGATTTATTAAATTGAGTTACAAATAAAGTCCTTGGCTTGAATATATAAGCAGTTTTTATTTTATAATTTTTGATCTAGATAAAGCAATTCCTCCCTCATTATCACCAACAACTCGTAGACAAAGACATCATGTTCCTCCTAGAGTATCTCCACCTGGTTCTTCATCCAAGAAACTGCCACACCCACCTCCTAATGAAGGTTAACACTTTGTTTGCTTAGTATTTTTTGAAATTGTTCTGAGACTTATTCATCATAATTAAATTTACTTTTTTAATCTTTTCAGATTGTTTATCAACTGTCTGCACTGAGCCTTATGTAACTTCTCTTCCTGGAGCACCTTGCAGATGTGTCTGGCCAATTCGAGTGGGTCTTCGCCTTAGCGTTTCTCTTTATACTTTTTTCCCTTTGGTCTCGGAGCTGGCTTCTGAGCTTGCCAGTGGGATTTTTATGAAGCAAAGTCAAGTTACAATTGTGGGAGCCAATGCAGCAAACCAGCAACCTGATAAAACAGTTGTCCTTATTGATTTGGTGCCACTCGGGGAAAAGTTTGATAACGCAACAGCCTTTTTGACTTCTTATAGGTTTTGGCATAAAAAGGTTGTTATTAAAGCCTCCTACTTTGGCGACTATGATGTGTTATATCTGAACTATCCGGGTAGGAACAATTGGCCAAATTCTGTGATCAAATCTTGTGTTCTCTCTTTGCACTTTCCGTATTTGTTTCCTTTTGAACGAGAGTTGTTGCTCTAACACATCCTACTATTATTATTATAGGTTTACCTCCTTCTCCTCCTTTAGCACCTTCAAGCATTACAATTATAGATGGTGGTCCATATACCACTGGTGACAATAATGGAGGGACAATAAAACCCATTGGAGTTGACATACAAAAGAGGCAGAATAGAGGTGATCTTAGCAGAGAATTTATTGCCATCATTGCTATTTCAGTTTTTGTAGCAGTTGTTTTATGCATTGCTGCTGCCTGCTTCATGTTTAAATTCGAAGTTCCGGTTAGTAATCCGGCGTCGACTCCGTGGCTTTCACATCCTTCTCTTACCAAAGCACCAGGTAATACAACCAGGTGAATCAGCTAGTGCATTTTACCCTCGGTTTATTCCCTTGTCTTAATGTTTGATTGTTAAAAAGAATGCTATATTGTTAAACTTCTCATGTGACTTAGCAATTATGTTTTTAAATAACAATTATTATATTAGTAAGAGTGGTTAGTGGAGAATTATTATTGTTAAGAAATGTGGTTGGGCCTAACTCAACCCTACAAAACCGGTTGGTAGAGTGAGGATTGCTCCCACTTATAAACACATGTTCATGCCATATATTGTCCAATGTGGGACTCTTAACAATTATATTATTAGGAGTAGTTACGTTTCATTAATTACGTAGGTATATGTTTAGAATAAATAGGGGGAAGATTAAGAAGAGATTATCATAGTGGAATTTGATAAGAAAAAAAAAGGTCATTTTGGCATTAGGGAGGTGCAGACCCTCGAAGTTATCTGATACTATGTAATTAAAAGGGATTTTCTCTATTTTCTTTTATATATAAATTGGTTCCTATGAATCGGTATCAGAGCAATTCTGACCCAGGAAGATTCTGTGGGTGTGCTGGAAATCTCTGTAGGAAGACGGCTGGAGAATTGATCCCAAGGTTTGATGGAAGGGAGGCCTATTGGTGGCTGACCCAGACAGAGCGATATTTTGGGTCAAGAAGAATGAGTGAAGAGATGAAACTTGGGTGGGCTGTTGCATTTGCATTGAGAGGAGATGCTCTTGATTGGTGGCTTTCTTGAAAGAAGAGCAATCCAAATACTTGTTCGCGGGGTTTTTCACAGGGTGTCAAAATAGATGAATTGGATGAATATAGATTAAATTGTTGATGGATGAATCAAAACAATCTATTAGTCCATTAACAATTCACTAAAATTTTCTTAAAATTATTCAATTCATCTGTTAAAATAAAATTCATCAAATCCATCAATTGACATATTTTTAATGAAGGGATATCCCTCCAACTTTTTTTTTTATTTTGAAAAAACAAACGTATTTTTTTTGTATTTTCCAGATAAAAAATCGATTTTTTGTATTTTCGAAAAAAATCATTTTTTTTTGAGAAAAACCAACTTTTTATGTTTTTTAAAAAAATCAATTTTTTAATTTTAAAAAAATGGTTCTTTTTTCAAAAAAATTTCTTTTTTTTTTGGGAAAATTTGACTTTTTGTATTTTTTAGAAAATTGATATTTTAATTTTTGAAAAAAATCAGTTTTTTATTTTGGAAAAAAAATTGCTTTTTGTGAAAAAGAAATCGTTTTTTTTTTTCGGAAAAAGATTGATTTTTTTTTCGAAAAATAATTTGGTTTTTTTTTGGAAAAAAATCAATTATTTTTTTTAAAAATTTTATTTTTAATTATTTTTTTAAAAATAAATCTAACAAAAATAATTCATTGAATCAATTCATCCATATAAATAGATTGAATGAATTTTGTCTTAATGTATTCAATTATCCCCTTTAGTTTTTCATAGGCCATTCTCAAAAAGTTCAAACTAGAATTTTGGAATTGTCTTCTGGACTCAAATAATGAAGAAGACGAAAACCACAGCACATAAAATTCAACACGAAAAGCAAGAACCACTAGTTTCCCAAAATATAGAAAAAACTTGTGATGAATTTGAAAGCACACAAATCCAAAAAAATAGTGAAAAAGTAGATTGTACAGTGGAGACTAAATCTGGAGATGACGAATGAGAAATACAGAGTCATTGATGGTTGCCAGTGAAGCAAAGGTCCAGAGACATGACAGAGAGTCATGTTTGGTCTAACTCATCCTTACAAAACCGGCTTGTAGGGTGAGGATTGTCCTCACTTATAAAGACTCTTAACACAGTCCCTCACGCTCCAGACTGGACATCTAGAACGTAGAAATAAATGGCGGGTGGCCTGATAGTGAAAAATTGGTAGCAGATAGTCCACCGGATCTTAAATTAAACTCTGATACCATGTTAGAGTTTGATCTAACTCAACCTTACAAAACCGATTTGTAGGGTGACAATTATCCTCACTTATAAAAACATGTTCATACCATATATTGCCAGTTAACAATTAGTAAGAGTGGTTAGTGGAGAATTATTATATTATTAGGAGCAATTACGTTTTAAGATAAGGGAGAGATTATCAGTGGAATTTGATAGGAGAAAGGCTATTTTGGCATTATGGAGGTGCAGCCCCTGTGACACTACTTTGTAATTAATGGGATTTTCCGTAGATTCTTCGAAGTTTTGTGGTACTACTTTGTAATTAAAGGGCTTTTCCTTATTTTCTTTTATAGTTGATTCCTATCATATATCTACAAATAGCAAATTATGTTTCTTACCACATGTTAGTTGTGAGGGTTTGATTCTTTTGTCATTATATAGCCCTTTTCTTACAAATCTTATGAATTTCAGGTTCTGCTGGATCATTAACTGGAGATGAAAGGGTTGGTTCTGTTTCCTCGTCATTTGAATCTGGCATGGCCGCTTATAAAGTGTCTGTTAAGACTTTCAGCATGAATGACATTGAGAAAGCAACTGATAATTTTGATTCTTCAAGAATACTTGGAGAAGGTGGTTTTGGGCTTGTTTACAGCGGTGTCCTTGGAAATGGGACAAAAGTGGCAGTCAAGGTTCTAAAAAAGAAGGATGACATTCATAGTAATCATGAATTCTTATCTGAAGTTGAGATGCTTAGTCGTCTTCACCATAGAAATCTGGTCAAGTTGATTGGTATATGTATCGAGGAAGACAGCTTCCGCTGCTTGGTTTATGAACTCGTCACAAATGGAAGCTTGGAATCACATTTACATGGTACTTGAATCTGGTTCTTGTTTGCTTAATTGAGTCTTTTAGGCATTGTTTTGATAAACAACCTAATTAAAAGCTTATAGCATAAACACTTAAGTTATGATATAAATGCTTTGAATAGGTTATTTCAATACACAAAAGATGAAAACAAAGTCAAATTGTTTTCATATTAAACTATAAGCTGTTTTTATAAGCTCTTCCAACCAGTCTTAAAAATTGTTGTACAAGTATATAAATGTTTTTTTTTTCTCACTTGGTCTTGTGATAGGGGTTGACAGAGAAAAATGTGCACTTGACTGGCGTGCTAGGATGAAGATAGCTCTCGGTGCGGCTCGTGGTTTAGCTTATCTGCATGAAGATTCAAGTCCATGTGTTATTCATAGGGACTTTAAGTCTAGCAACATTTTGTTGGAAGATGATTTTACTCCAAAAGTATCTGATTTTGGATTGGCCCGGACCGCTGAAGACGAGGAAAATAGACACATATCAACTCGTGTCGTGGGAACATTCGGGTACAAAGTTTTCATACCTTATTTTCTCTTCCTGTTTTGAAAATTTAAAAGATGTTTAGTTTGTGAAAACGTTGCCTATTCGTCTGTTTTTTTCTGGTTGATTTTCACAATCATGCATTTCCTAATTTTGACGATTGAAAAAAATGAATTCAGCTATGTGGCTCCAGAATACGCAATGAACGGTCATCTTCTCGTCAAGAGTGATGTATACAGCTATGGCGTTGTTCTTCTAGAGCTTCTGACCGGAAGAAAACCTATAGACATGTCACAAACTCCCGGCCAAGAAAATCTCGTTGCTTGGTCTCGTCAATTTCTCACAAGCAAAGAAGGATTAGAAGCAATAACAGATCCATCTATAGGACTCGACGCGCATTTTGATAGCGTGGCAAAAGTAGCAGCCATTGCTTCAATGTGTGTGCAGCCAGAAGTATCGAACCGTCCATTCATGAGTGAAGTTGTTCAGGCTTTAAAACTTGTATGCAGTGAATGTGAAGAAGAAGAAGCAAAAGAAGATGATAGTTCAAGAAGTTATAGCCGAGAGCACGAGGATTTATCGGTTGTCGATAATGATATTGAAAATGGTTTGTCAGCATCAGAACTATTCAGTTCTTGTAGTGGAACTGGTAGAATGGAGTATGAAACATTTAGAAGAAAATCTTATTCAGGTCCTATGGGAAATGGAAGAAGTAAACAATTGTGGCAGATAATGAGAAGGCTTTCTGGTGGTAGTGTTAGTGAACATGGAACTATATGATCAAGTAATGATGAGGTTACTATAGAGAAATAGCATCTTTTTTTATTGTCTACTTTGTGGATATTGTTTTTCATGTATATTAAAAATAAACAAAATAGATAGAGATGGTGATTATTTTTTGACGTGCTTTTAAGTTTTTAATAAAATATAATGTTTTGAGAGTAGTATATATAGGTTTAAATAAAAGATGAAATTAAAAAAACGTAACTAATAACATGTTGAGATGATGAAAATGATATTTATTTTGAAATAATTCTTTTGATAAAATGACCCCTATTGTAAATGGATGAAATGTTTAATTGAATAAATATTATCAATTTGAGTGTTATGTTTTCAAATATTATATGTATATTTAAACACTTTGAAGATTTTTAAATAATTTTTAAAAAATAATTAAATTAAGCGTTAAGTTAAAATATTAGGCAATTTTTTTTCACCCTTATACTTTCTCGCAAACTCTCGATAAAAATCTAAAAATGTCTTTAGAATTCAAATATGCATTTTCGAATGCACAAATTTTCACAAAATTGAATGCAAACGACTGGGACGCCCCTGTTATATTTAATTTTAGTTTAGACTTGCATCTTCGAAGGTGTAATGGGGTTAATTAGTATATACATATTTGAAAATGATTCTAATACTTCAAACTAGAAACAAAGATGGTATGAGCAAGATTTAGAAACAAAAACAACTTGACATTAAATTAAAACACTCAACATTACATAGATAGTTGTAAACATAAATTTAAAATTACATATTGTTATAAATTAGTAGTTTAGGACGTTGCAACATATTGGTAATACCGTCGACGAATCTTACAATCTTTGCATCCACTTCAATCCGACTCTTTGATGCATAATGGTAAAATGTGCTCCATGTGACCTTTAAATCTTCATCTGTCTTAAGTTCAAAGTTGGTGAACTGTATCTTTCTTTCGCTGTCAAACGAGGGTGAACAATACTCAAGCTTGACAACTCTCAAAATTTCTGGATATCGCAGGAGAGTATTCAATTTGGTTTTCAGATCGACAATAAGTATGTCCTCCCAGAAATCACATTAAATTTTCATGTATCATTCACCTTACAATATTCATGCAATTTAAACGGACACTCACATTTTCTCGATCCAATGTCATAACGTTTCAACCTCAGAATCAGTGAAACATACATGCCACTTCTCTCGCATCTCATGGTCGCAAATGTATGCATTCTACTTGAACCATTGTCAAACATTCTGATTACAATGTCAAACCCTAATTTACTGACCTCCATGCAGACCATTTAAGCATATTTTCACGATCCGCAAACAACTGTTCGTTTCTAAAATGTTGACAAATATCTATCTCGACAATAGTCGGTTTAACATCATCGTTCACTTCATCTGGTTCAACATCATCCTTCACTATGTCCGATTTTGCATAATTACTTATAGCAACTTTGGGTAACATATCCGGGTGCAATACGAACCAAAAAAGAAAAATGGTTTAAAACACTCACAGTAGCAATAAAATCTTGATATGCACATCCGAAACATGACTAGTTAAATTCGGAGATGCACACTCTGGTGTAACATACATTTTTTCAGCTTAAGAACAAGATTAATGCAAGCAATGATGGATGAGACGAGTGGACTTTACCATAAATTGCAGCTTCTTTTGCTCTATTTGATGTGATAAAACATAAGAACTATGGCTTAGAGTTGAAAAGTTGATTGATAATGAATTTTTTGAAGGGTTTTGCGTAATGGAAGTGATATGGAACGTGAAAGCGATTATCATGCAAGGTGGTGTTATGTTCAATATCCCGCTTGACATTTTTGAAGATATATTTTCGAAAATGCCACTCAATGGTTAAATAAATCAGCTCAATGAAATATGTGAAGTAAATGGATTCAGGGTTGCTTTCAGAGATGCATCTCCGAATACACCCCTTAAAGTTTCGCAGATGCATCTCCAGATCAATTGTTATGCAGAAATGAGGTGACTGTTTGATTTACAAAGAATGGGGTGATCTAAGGTGTGTCCAGAGATACATCTCTAAAAATACTCAAGAGCAAATTCAGATTTTCAGTGGTGTGAGCCACATTCTAAAGATGAAGAAAAAATTGCCAAATTTTATGTCGAACACGAATCCAACAATAAATTAAGAAAATAAAGTCCACCACTAGTCTACATAACAAACACCGAACAAGAGAAGAATTAAAAAAAAAACTTCTCAAAGATAACACAAGATATAATTCAGGAAAAAAAATCTTTCTAGATACCACCAAATACTCTTTATCTCCAAGGCTAAAATCTCTCACCTTCTATTGGCTTAGATAAAGAGGAAAGTTCTTAATACACACCGAAAAATACAAGATTTTTTTGCATATCTATCAAGATATTGTTTCTAAATAAACCAAATTCTCTTATATTCCACATCCTTTAGACCAGTAGATAACATGAAAAAACGATATCAATTAGGAATTTTCAAATTGCCCAAACAGTTGCTTATCATATTGTAACCAAACCACCTATCACCTAGACCTAGCTCCCAGCAAATAAAAAAATAGAACTAAGATACCTTAAAAAAATAAAGGCATAATTAGTCTCCAAATCCCATAAGTTAATTATGAGTTGGGATTCAGTCCCTCAATAAAAAATCGTTTCAGTTTGGTCCCGTAATATTACTTTCTTTAGCATATTAAATCCCTGTCGTTAGTTCTGATGCTAAAACGTTGTAACTGCCAACGTGGAGTGCCAAGTGTGTGATGACTCATCAAAATAATGAATAAATCATTATTTAACGGGTTGAATGTTGTCAAAGAGCTTCATATTTGAAGGTTCCATGGTTTTATGATTGACAACATTTTTGCTAAAACATGGTTCATAGCAGATATCCTATCAGATGCCGTAACATGTTGTATCAGAACATATGTTCTGGTTGTTTTAATTCTTGACAGATTGGTTTTGATTATGTGATATTCCTTTTAGAATTTTCTCCATAATTTTCGCAGGTTAAGAAGATTTTATTTGAAATAGATTTTTGTATCTCCAGCTATACATAAGTTGCCAAATTTGGTTGAAGAGACAATTTAGGAAATGTTGTGTTTGTTCCAAGATTTAAGGATATTTTTCTACATGATTGATGCAACTCTCAGTGTCTGGGTTGAGCTAGAATTTGGTGAATATTTCGAAGCTCATGGACTGCTGAGGAGTATTTAAAGAAGACTTAAACATAATGTATTTACGACTTTCACTTTTGTAAAAAACTAGGGGAAGTTTTAGAAACTTAGGTTTTTAGAGTCTCTTGTGTGTGACTTTGTAAGTCATCCTCTGTATCGTTTGATGCATTGTGATAGACATGTTATTTGTTGGATGTTGTCCTCTCTCTAAATATTTTAAGCAAAAGAGTTGAGTATTGTTCTTTGTTGAAGCTTTGAAGCAAAATCGAGTATTGTTCTTGGTCAAGAGTCTTGACCTATTATTGTAGTAGAAAGAAGGTACATCTTTCTTTTTGGTTTCTCGTGGCAAGGTCATTGGAATTATGACTGCTTACTAGGAAGTGAGAGGTGGATCTCATATCTAGATGGTGATTTCTAGGTAGAAGTAGCACAAGGTGAGACACCTGTCTTGTTCCTGTCTGTTGTTGAAGATGAAGGTTGAGACACCATCAACTTAGGTGAATATTCACTAACTCAGTTTATTTCTAATCTGCTTGAATGTGAGTTCAAGAGGTTAGATTCTATCTCTTCTCTGACGAAGCTTGTGGTCTGTTTTCTGCTGAAGAACTGTGAAGGCATCTCAACCAGGTTCTGCGCATATGGATTGATAGTCAAGGATAAATTTCTAGAACATTCACCCTGACATCTTGAAGTCTCTTTAGCTCAAGGAAAGCTGGATCTGAGTGATCTTGCAGTTTTCTGTGTCTATCTTGTGACTAACTTATCTAAAAGGTTAGTTTCTGGTGTGGACTCTGTTTTTGATATGGATGATTTGGATGCTTCTATTGAGAAATTGTGCTGGAAGGCGAGGTGATGTCAGAAAATCTAAAAGAGATGGATCTTCAAAAGTGTATCAGAAAATATAGATCTCTGTGAAGTTTCATCAATTGGCTAACTAAGTCGTTGATGTTGTTATAATGTCCTGACATCTTGCAGAACATTACAATGTTTATGCTGAAAAGAATGTATGCACTAAAATTGTCTCAGGGCGCACGCCTTGGGTTGTGATCGTTTAATATTTTGTTTCTAAAAAACAATTAATTTTCGTTTAATTTAAAACGCCTAAACACTTAATTTGATTAAAATACTTAACACAACTAATCAAATTATTTTTCTTAATTAAATCACGAAAGAACTGAATTCTTGAGGTCTAACACTTCTTGGGTTCTTGAATGACCGCTAATTTGATCTTTCGTCCCTAAAACACTTGCCCTAATTATTTGGACAAAAAAGTTTGTTGTCCATCAAACACGGTTTCTTGATTAATCGAATGAAAAAGGTATCGTTGGGATCTAGCATCCCAGTAATGCCCCGATTAATTGGTTACGAGAACGACGTCTCGTTTTATCGAATGATCGCCATTTCCTTTTAAATACTCAACAAATCGAACCTCACCTCCTTGCCTTCATGGAAACGAACTCTTCGCGTACCCTAAACCTATTCGAATACATAACCAAACATTTTCTCAATCAAATTACGAAATAAGAAGGTTCTTGGGGTCTAGCATTCTTTGGATCTTCAAATGAATGGCTCTCGAGGCACGCCCATTGGGTTTTTATTCATTCAATCTTTCGTCTTTTAAAAAACTAAATCGTTTTCAAACTAATTCTAGATTCGTCGTCGAGCCACTTCTCAAAACACCCTTGTAATTCGAGTGCCTTTTGCCTTGCCATCAACCTAACACACACACTTGCACCTTTCTTAGTTTTGTTACTATGAGCATCCCTAGAAACTAGGATCGACCCTCACCTCTTTTCACAACCAAACTGATTCAATATTTTTCAAACGTTTTCTTAATCAACTTACGAAAAGAAGAAGATTCTTGGAGTCTAGCATTCCTTGGATCTTCGAATGAATGACTCTTGGGATGCACGCCTTGGGTTGTTGTTCATTCAACCTTTCGTATTAAAACACTTAATCTTTATCAAACATTTTCGTAATCAATCACGAAAGAATTGAGTTCTTGGAGTCTCGCATTCCTTGGATTCTTGATGACTGCTCTCGAGGCACACCTCTTGGGTTGTTTGTCACTCGATCTTTTGTTCCTAAAACTCAAACACCTCAATATCGTAGTTCCACAAAATACAAACGCTCTGATTCTTCATTCTCGTCCGAATGAAGATACGTAGGCACAAGATTGCGATGATCTTGGCGAGCTACCTTCCCTTTATTTTCCATTTTCTACCTTTTTTTTTTTTCTTTTTCCACCGTTTGCGTCTCACTTCCATCTTTTTCCGTCATTCCGCGTCTACCTTCTATCCATCTTCCATTTTCCCTTTCTCTCTCGTAGTTAAACTACGAGCGCTCTGATTCCTGATTCTCGTTCGAATGAGCATATGTAGGCACAAGGGCCTCAATCCTTGATGAGCACCCTAACTTAACAACCACCAATTTTCCCTTATCAATCAAGCTCTTTTCCTTTATCTTTCCGCATTACTCGTTTAGAAGAAAACAAACAAGCTTAGATAACATTAATTACAAATCGAACTAAGAGGTTCCCGTTGAGTACAACGAACGTAGGGGGTGCTAATACCTTCCCTTTACGTAATCGACTCCTGAACCCAGAATGTGGTTGCGATGACCATGTTCTTATCTCTTAAAGGTTTTCTCGATATTTTCATTTCTGTCTCTTGGGATAAATGAAATTCGGTGACGACTTTGTCAAACCAATTTCTTTCGTGCCTTTTGCGTGAGGGTCGTATTTTTGATGTATTTTTCGAGGTGCGGCATATAAGCCTTAGTTATAAACTACAAAATAGGCCAAAAGTGGCATAACTAGTACACATCAAAGATCAACATAAATATCAGGGTTGACTCAGAACTGACTTTAAATCCTTTTGAAGTTTCCTTTTCTTTTTGGGTGGTTGCTGAGTTGAAGCTCCATCTGGTGTTGGTTGGCTTGAGGTAGCAGCTTGTTGTGGTTGGCCTGAGGTAGTAGCTGGTTATGGTTGGCCTGAGGTAGCAGCTGGTTGTGGTTGGCTTGGGGTTTCCTGAGTTGAAGTCATAACAGTTATAGGTAACTTGCAAGTGGCCTTGTTGTGACCAACCCTTCATCTTCTTTGTTACATTCTATCCCCTGATGATCCTCTTAGTTACAAATAAGTCCCTCAATTACTGAATCAGTTTGAACACTTACCAAATAAGATGTGTCGTCCAAAATATCATCTTTTGGCCACATACAATATGATCAGTGGTCCCATCTAAAGTAATATCCACTATTGCATCTTCAGACAAAGTGTCCCCCTCAAAGTTAACATCCTAACATGACTCTTTTTGGTTAATGCCCTTAACGGTCCCATACACATTAACATCTTCAAACGAACCTTCTTGGTCAACTACAACTGAATCTTCTACACCAGTGGGCCATCCTTAATCAAACTTGTCACCTAGATTATTCAATTCTTCAATGGTCCCCAAGTCATCAAAAGTTCCTTTTACACCATTATTCAATTCATCCAACATGTCATCTTCTACACCATTAGGACCTACATTGTTTTCAAGAGGCATTATTTGCTTTTCCCCATACACTAGATGCATTACATATAGATGAACATTCCCATTGATCAGTGCAATCGTTTTCATTCTATTTATTCATGCGTCATCTTGCAACATCACTAGCTCATTATCATACATTGCATTATAATATCACAAGCTCTTAACTATTGGGTACCCCAAATCTTTTAACCCACCCAAGATCTCAAAATAACTCTAAAATCCGAATCAACTTGCCAAATCTCCTCTAACCCCTTGTAACCTAATTCGTTAAACTCATCAAACACACCCTGATGATGGGTAACACATTCAGAGGTATCACTCATGACCTAATCACACCAAATAACTCATAAATGAGACTTCAAAGTAGAAGAAATTGTTAAACGTTTACTTTTTAAAATAGTAAGTTCATACTCGTACCTTGGTCTTGAAATGAGACAATGGTTGAGTTGCTAAGTATCGTCTTCTGCTATATTCCAAAAATCGTCGTCTTCAACCACCGAACTCTTCTTCTTCGCAGCTGCTAGAATTTTTTGTGTGGCACTGAGAGTGAAATTATGAAACTGAGAGAGAAGATTAAGAGTTCAGGATTTTATGTTTCTAAAAATGAAAACTAAAATCACTATGCCACATCACTATAATAATAATTGAAAAAAAAAGAATAAAATGTTTTTTCGATAAAATTAATAGAAAGAGTTTATTAGGCTAACCGAGTTGGCTTAAAGGACTATATTGTAACATTTTTGAATTATGAGACTAAATAAAAACAATAAATTAATTTAAGGAACCCCAAAATACAATATTAAACAAACTCTCTGCCTATGACAAAGTCAGTTGTTCCCCTTTTTATATGACACTTCCTTCTCAATATAAACTTCTAAGAATTATTCAAATAAATTACATTCAAAATTATAATTAACCATGTTAAGTTGACGATGAATGAATTAAAATATCTTATTATTTTATTAATAATCTACTAAATATTTGTTTCGAGGGAAATTAATCACATTTAAACTGTGTTAAAATTAATTAATTTAAATTTTTTTGTATAAAAAGGTGCATTGGTGAAAAGTGGGTGTTTTGAACAAAATATGGGCCTTGAAAGTTGGGCTTATTACAAACAAAATATTTTGAGTAGAAAGAGTTGACCGGAAAAGAAGACGAAGAAAGTACATAACCGAGTTTAGTGAGTGAAAAAAACGAGTTTGCTTTCACTTTGCAGAAGCGTTTTCAAGTTCTGAAGGTGCAAGGTCTTCACATTCTATCATGGTAATCCTCTGAATCCATTCAATTTTGTTTTCAATTTCATTCTACACATTCTGACTTTGCGATTTTGTTTCAATTTGTGGAAGGCTGCAAAAGCGATCGCTAGTCCTATCCCCGATTCGCTGTACCCTACCCTCTCCGTTTTCACTCTCGCAATCGGTCTCATCTTAACCGCTTCTTTCTTCATGTAAGTTCCGATCTCATCCTCCTTCCTTTTCGATTTCTACATTTCTGGATTTTCATCTGAATTTGCATGGATTTAGCGATTTGATTGTACGTTAACAACTCTGGATTTGGTTTTGAGATCTAGTAACTGTTTCTTGAGGTTAGTGATGAGTTAAGATGGATGTTTTGTGAGGAGTTTGGCTTGATCTAGGGATGAGGATTTTACTTGTTGATGGGAGAGATTTTGCTGATCTGAGATTAAATTTAATGTATGATGTGCAATTCATAGAATTTGAAAAGGAAATGCTTTCTGAAGAATATTCTTCTATAGGAAAGGGTAACGGTCTACTTGGAGTAGTTATTCTTTTCAGGGTTTTGATATAATGATATTGTTTCATCTGTAGCTTAATGGAATATGATGGATGGAATAGTGTGAAATGAAATGGATTTTTTTTGTCCAAATTAGGGTATTGGATGGATGGAATAAACTATTTTAAACAATAGAGCCTTTAATAGTTTCATCATATCCCAGTCCATTCTATTCCGTTCCAGTAATCGAAAGGAAAATCTATCTGACTTTGTGTATATGGCCATTGATATTCAACTGAATCAGTCCCTTTTCTACCCTTGTTGTTAAACCAGTTGATGCACGTGTGAGGAGCATGTCGTTTGTTACCAAACCAATTGTAACATAAATGGAAGTGAAATTTAACTACTCCTATATTATATACTGAAGAACACTAGATAACAACCCAAATCCTTGTATAGGAGTGTTTGTAATAAAGAAGGGAAAAAAGAACTATCTATCAGCATTTCACCCCCATATGCTCATATATCCAGTAACCACACTCTAGACAACAAACTTGTGCACAGGTCTACATCCCCTCTCCATGCCACCTCAGTAGGTGGTTATGTCATCCCTATCCCACTTTTGGAAATTTGATATGGTGCATCACACCTTTATTCATTCTCTTGAAGACTTTAAAAATTTTGCACTCTGGGACTAGCTGTAACATGCAATATTATTTCAGCATGTGTTGTGAGCTAAGATCTTGCAATTTTTAGAGCTTCCATTGGACCTAAAAATGACGTGCATTCTTCACTCAAAAATTAAATTGCACTTTAAATGTTAAAATAAATAAAACCGATCTGTTGCTTAAATTATCATGATCTGTTTTTGTTTTTATTTATTTATAATCTCATGAAGCAATGTTGATTGCTATGTAAGGGTGTTTTCGTAAGGCTGGATATACATGTAAAATATGACCCCGGAACTTATTGATACAATTGGTTTTGTAATGTATTAGCGATATGTGTTTAATGGACCTGACCTAGTTTGGATTGGCTTACAGTATATAAGAGTTTCTCAATTAATATATTTTTATAGATCTTCACTTAAGCATAAGTTCTTACAAGCTATTGTTTGTAAAGAAGCAACATGAGAAAGCATAATCATGACTTTAGCTTCATCAAGAAGCTAATGTTTCTAAAACTCAAGAACTATTATGCAAGATTGTTTAATATTTCGTTTTCTTCAAGTGCTTCTTAAGAAGTTTATTCAAATTAGCACAGTCTTGTATTTTTTTTTTTGATTAATAATATTAATGATGAAGTAGCTTTAAAGAGACGAGAGGTTTGCTGAGCTGACCTCTTTTTGTGATATCTTGTTATCATACAAATAAAACCTGTGTTTTTTTGCAGTTATGAAGCAACCTCATCTAGGAAAACTCGTTCCCTTGCTCAGGAGCTGATAACAGGGGCAGTTGCATCAGTCTTCTTGGTATGTTTTATTTATACTTTTGACGCAATACTTGTGTAAGGTTGGAAACTTATGCTCCTGTCTTTATCTTCACAGGGTTTTGGGTCGTTGTTCCTCCTACTTGCCAGTGGCGTGTATGTCTAATCATTCAACATGAAACTGTATGAAATTTTTGCTAAGAAGATAGCTTTAATGAACATTTACATGAGACATTTTAGTTTTATATCTTACTAGAAAATTATGTTCTTAAACTGTCCATGACATTGCTGGGTTATTTTTAATGCTAAAAAAGATTATGAATTGCTGAGTTTATGCTTGAATCTCTAGTGGGGAAACTTTACATTTCCATATTTCAACACACATCATAAATATGGGTTGGGTCTTGGGTGTGAATTTTAAGCTTCTTTGTTCTTTTCATTGATAAATAAGAAGAAAGATGCTTTAAACACAGTGAAATATACAGGAACAATAGCAAGATGCAAAGAATGTTACATGTATCAACAGTTTCATTCAAATTTGTATGATTAAAAATTTACACATTCTGTGATCTCATTATTGTTCACCATGAGATCTCTTACATGAGTAGTTGGATGCCACACCACAACGTATGCTTGGGGTGAAGATGAAGGAAAATAACAAACCACAACGAGAAATAAGGTTGAATGACAGCTGAAATGAAAGTTGCAACTGACTGTAAAGATTAGGACTTTTTGAGAGAGGTCGCGGGTTCTACTCCTAGGAAAACCTTTTATGTAATTTGATTGATCTAAAATATGGCCAAGTAAACATCATTTTATTTTTATATGTTACGTAAAGAAAACGTCTTCTACGTGTCATTCAATTTCTCTCAAAATTATAATCTCTCTTGATGAAGGGTTTTCTCTCTCCTTCCACCGACTAATTTCTACTTTCTTCTCCGATCATGGAACAATTGGTAGTAATCCTATAGCTATGCATCGACTCAAATGCTATACACCTAATCTAGCGACCTCAACAATTGAACAACTGATTGTAAAAAGAAAACTTTTGTTCAGGGGGTTAACAACATCTTTGATATCCTCAATCTGTTGTAAAAGGGGACAAGATATCAATAACAATTCACGAGGAGGAATATTTGGCCGGCCTAGCTTCTTGTAAATCCAACCTTCATGAAAGAATCATATGGCTGAAAGGGTCGGTGCCCATAAAGGTTGATGCCTTGAGGCAGGAGCTATGTTCAATCTGGAACTCTTTGGGAAAATGGGGGTTCATTTCTCTGAATAAGGGTTGCTATGAATTCTCCTTTTTTTTAATAGTGAAGATCTTCCAAAATTGTTTGCATGTGTTCAATCTGGAACTCTTTGGGAAAATAGGGGTTCATTTCTCTGAATAAGGGTTGCTATGGATTCTCCTTTTTTTAATATTGAAGATCTTCCAAAATTGTTTGCTTGGACAAAAGACTTTAATCCCAATGAACATCATCAATCATCGACACATGTTTGAATTAGAATTTCTGAGCTCTCTTAAGAATATTGGAGGCCTAAAATTCTTTATGTGATTGTTAGTGCTATTGGCAACCCTATATGTATGGATGACACCGCTGCCAAATCTATGTTTGATAGATCTTTTTGCACGAATTTTGGTGGACTTGGATTTGGTTGGAAATTTTAGAGATAAGATTCTTGTTGAAAGGATGAGCTTCGCTTTCCTTCAAACCTTTGGTGTTTATGTGTTCCTCATGTTGACCCTCATATAGTTTTAAATGATGATCAACATGTATCTTTTCTCATTAAAGATGGAACTACTGCTTTGGCATGACTGTTATATATGCTTCACAAATTATCTTAAAAAAAGAGAGCTCTGGACCAATCTCACCTCCTTAAAGAACTCGAGTACGAAACCATTGTGTTATCTAAAATAATATCAGCAATTTAACATGGAGAGGATGTTTACACTGATCTTGAAGACATTTCCAGTATTTTCTCTAGTCACTTTGAACATCTTTTCAACTCAAATAATGCCTGCACAGATAATGGCCTGATTGATGAGGTAATTCTCAAACTTGTCAATGATCATACCAATGCTTTATTGACAATACCTAGTCATAGTACAGTTTTTTCCATGAACAAGGATGGTTCTCCAGGGCCTGATGGATTTGGTGGTTTCTTTTTTCAACATACTGGGAGATCATTAAAATAAAAGATCATTAAAATAAAAGTTATCAATGTGATTCTCCAATTCTTTTCAACAGGTTGAATTCTCCCCAATTGGAATGCAAATTCAATTGTCCTCATTCCCAAATGTTCTAATTCCATCATAGTTAACCAATATAGACCTATATCCCTATCAAATTTCAAATTTAAGTTCCTATCTAAAGTCATGGCTGACATGCTTGCTTCAGTCATGCCTTTCATTATCTCACGAACAAAAAGGTTTTACTAAAGGCAAATCCATTGTTGATTGTATCTATTTGACCACTGAGGCTATAATTATTCTTCATAATAAATCCTTTGGAGACAATATTGCAGTTAGAATTGACATCATGAAAGCTTTTGACACATTGGGTTGGGATTTCATGCATAAGGTTTTGCATAATTTTGGTTTTTTGATCAATTTTGCTTCTAGATTATAGTTATTCTGTTTAGTGCAAAACTTTATATTATATTAATGGGGCTCACAAAGGTTATTTTAAGTGTAAAAGGGGTGTGAGGCAAGGAGACCCCCTTTCCCTTTATTTTTTGCCTAGCTGAAGATGTTTTTAGCATAGCTATAGCTGAAGATGTTTTCAGCATAGCTATCACAAAACTTGTGGAGCAAGGCAACCTGGATCTCATTAAGGGGTTAAAAGGATTCTCAGTGCCTTCTTATGCTTTCTATGGAGATGATATTATGATATCTACAAAGCTAAAAATCTATAATGCTAAAAATCTATAATTTATTATGGATCCAGACCAATATGTGAACTGTAATGCCACTTCAAATTTATTAAAATATTTATTTAATTTATTTAAATAGAAATATTCGTATTTTTGGTAATTTGCGGTGGTTGGAATGAAGTATTGAGAATTATGGATTTTGGGTTATTTATTTAAATAATAGTATATAATATTAATATATTAATATTATTATTAATGTAAATAAATATAAGTGAATTAAGGGCAAAATGGACATTTGAGTAGGAGTTAATGAGAGTGAAATTGAAAAGTCTATTTTAAGGCCCAAAGTTAAGTTTAACAAAAAAAGAATTTTGAGGGAATTAAAATTCATTCTTGTTAGACCGTGAAAAGAGAAAAAATAGAGGACAGAGCTCTGAGGGAAGAGGATTGAGGCAAAACTTCGCGAGGTTTCCAAGAATTAAAGAAGAAAGGTTTAGAGTCGGCAAATTAAAGTACAAAGAGTATTTCCTTCATTGTTTTCAATATGTGATTCAATGTGTTTAAATCCGATTTAAGGGTTTAGGGATTTTGAGTTTTGAATTGTTATTGACTCTCTGGTGAATTTAATGACTTTGAGGGATTTGAACTGATGGTCTGATAGGTTTGAGGCTGATTTGGGAGTGGGAGTAAGAGAAATTAGGCCTTCGTGGCCAAAATCTGTTGTTGAGGTTTTAACCGTATAGGGTAATTGGTTATGAGAACTCTAATGAATGTGGGAAAATTGTAAGGATTTTATGGAAATTGGAGGCGTAAATATGATACGAGATTGACCTAATAAGTCGTAAATTTTGTGCCTTTATCGCCGTAATACCTTAGGAATGATTTAGGGATGTTTTTGGGACATTGGGGAAGGAAATCGTAGGGACTTTTAGGATGGTTTTGGTGCTGGTGCGTAACAACGTTTTGCTGTAAACGCGAGTTCGCACAGCGAATGATCCTTCGCATGGAGAACACTCGCCCCAGACTCGCACGACGAACTGTCCAGCGAACATAGCAGAGTTTCGCGAATTGTGTTCTTGTGCAGTGTTGTCTTTATGCTTTAATGCTGTGATTTTCTGGATGAATTACCTTGAGTATGATTGTGATTCATATGTGATTAATACATGATTGTATGATAATTTCTATGAGTAATGATGATGAGTTATGATGTTGATTCCATGAGTTTTTGATGATTATATGATGACATGATTATTATGATGATTTTGATGAATGATGATGCACCTAATGAGTTTATTATGAGGATGATATTGACGTGTGCATCATGCATTCATATGCATTCCAGACTTCGGTCTAGTGTTTGATTCTTATGGCTTCAGTCCCATGTGCGGATGTGAAGTATTTTGTTGTGCTCCGATTCTTGTGTAGAATTGATCCTATTGATGGGGATCTATGGAGGGTTGATGGCCCAGTGTCCCTCGAACTTTGATGAATTGGTACCACATGCATGAGTCTTGTTGCATTTGCATTTATGTGACAATTTGGTGTAATTTATGATATTATGACTTTTTGATGTTTCCTTAATGATTATGTTGAATACGAAAATGACGCTATTTTAAATATTGATTCCTATATTGATTATTATGAATCGTTTTACTCACCTTGCCTGTTCGAATGTTACCTCCACGTGGGTAACGTGCAGATGACCAGGTTTAGCCGTGGATGTCGTCGAGGACTTTTTGGAGTTTTTGACTTTTGGTTGACTTAGAGGGTCTTGCTCTAATAGTGTAACATCGGGTTGGGATCTTTGAGTTAAACCATGTTTTATTGATTATTGTTATTTTGATTATGTTGCTGCGCAAAGAAAACTTTGAATTTTGCCTTTTTGAGTTCCGCTGCCTTTTGAGCAATTTTTGTGTAATTTTGAGAATACCCGTTGTTTATGGAACATTGACTTTTATTTGAGTTATTGAGAAATATACGCCCTTTGAGGTGGTTTTTATTGTGTTTAATATTTTACTTTGATAAATGTGATTGATTTGCCATTATATTTATGGGGTAGAAAAAGGTGTTACATTAGTGGTATCAGAGCAGGTCGGTCCGTCCGACCAAGTTGTCTAATATTATTTGTTCTTAGTATGCGACATGTGTGTGAAAACACTGCCGGTACACGTTTGTTTTCTAACCTTTGTCTGCAAAAGTGGGAATGAAACAAGTGGGGGAGAAGCTTGTGCTTCTCCAGGATGCTTCAAGTGTGGAGTGGTGGCTCAGTGTGTCGATGAACGCTTTTATAGTTAGGTAAAGATGGTTTATGCCCCATCATGATTTTCGGCTGTCTATTGACAAATTGAGGAACTGATCACCCTTAATCTCTTGTTAATAGTAGACGGAGTCATGTTGGATGGGATAGACATGTCTTGCAAGCTTAGATGGTGTGTGCAGTGAATTGTTTTGAGTTAAACTAAGTGCTTACAGATTATTTTGGTGAGTCGGTGCAGGATGGTGCTGAGATGTTTATTTTGATGGAAACTTTGAGTGTTAATAAAGTGGGAAAGTTGGTGGTGTGTCAATTATTTGTGATTATCTAAATGTTTTTCCTGATGAGATAAATGATTTACCCCCGTAATGTGAAATGGAGTTTACGATCGACCTAGTTCCTGAAACTAGTTTGG